TTCTTAATAGGATTGGATAGGATGAAGGATGAGACATCTACCGGATAGTGGTGTTTAGAAAAGGACTGGAAATTGCTCCCAATATGCATGTCCTGTTTTGTGGAGAGAGAGAGAGAGAGAGAGAGAGAGAGAGAGAGAGAGAGAGAGAGAGTCGCCGATTGGTAGAAATCGCCACGAGAAGTTGAACCTGGACCACAAATACGATCAACTCAACCCTAGGCCTACCATTTTTTTTTATCTAGGTTATATGCATATTATGTCAGACTTCATTCGATCTCACTAAACGCTTGATAGGATGTCGGATGTCTTTTATATCCATGCCTCATATTTTGTCGGCTAAACTTGGCCCTGGACTTTTATTTTGGTCTCGTTTATATCTTTTATGTATAACTGTGTGCGTTGCTCACAGAGATCGAATCCCGGATATAGTATTCTCCGGCCCACCCATTCAATCTCTCTACTAGTAGGGCCGCATGACTTTCGGCAACTTGGCCATGGACTTAAGAAGCTAGACAATGTAGTTAAATGGGAAGATTTCTAGTTTGATCCTGATAAACAGGCCAATAACTGTCAAGTATCATATGCCATTCACATTGCATGGTCGAGAGAAGGAAACAAGCTCCATTGACCAGCCCTATCTGGTGCCCCATCTCAGAACTCCATGGAGGACCCACACCCTCGCCAAGAGAAACCACCGATAAGACACTCACCGGAGCCGAGTTACACCATGATAAGATCGACTGATTTTTGTCCAAAAATAAACCATAGCCTCATCAAATCCGAAACATTTACATATTAAAAAAAAACCCAATTGCGGTGAAATTTCTCCGTATGATATTGTCGATCACATCATGGAATCAAGTTTACGCAAAAAAATGATTTTAGGATGGGATGAGTTTGGGATCGCGAAGCTCGAAAAGCGCGTGCGACCCGTTTTGTCGCCGTACAGAAAATTGCTTGACCTTGCCTCCCCACCCGCTAGGCGAAAACCGACATGCATATCATAGTTTATCTCGGGGTCGATCTCTCGTTCTCTTTCTTATCTTTTGGTAGACACATTTGTCTGCGATGTTCCGTTGCTTTCTTTTGTTGCGCACCATGAGTTCATAAAGTCAGCTTTTATGGCCTTGGTTCGTCCGTGAGTCCCATCTAATGTCGCCCCCTCGTGTCCACGTTCGGTGTCCCAAAAAGTCCCCATTGAAAACGACGCCCTAGTGTCGTTATTAGGGGTCCTCGAGAAGTGCCATTCTCTTCTCTGGGTCGAATGCCACAATATACATGTGTTGTCCTTCATATTGACGGGAATGAATGCTTGGAGCCAAAAGAGTGTCTGTCACTATTGTTCAATGAACGCGGCTGCGAATCGATCGATCTTGATTGTGTCCAATGCTCGGTCGAGTAAGAGAAGATCGTGCTCGATCGAGTCTAGCTAACATTTTTTTGTCCAAGAGCATCTCATTCATGGAAAGTAGTGTTTAACGTATGCACGCGAGTGCGTGTGAGCTTAATTTGGTAGGGACAAACTAATAAGAGGGAAACATAACATTAAAAATGTTTTAAAGCTTGATTTTTTTTTGCTAGAAAGTTTTAAAGCTTGATTGGTTTAAAGACCACCGTAAAGTTTTCGTGAAAATTTAGACTAGCTATATCTAATGCATATATAACATGCTTTTAAAAAAATGCAACTGAAGTGGGATCTCTATCGAATTGTAAGGATTACAGTATCATTCACTTATCCAAATCCGGATCGATGATATGTTTGCATTGCTCAAGTGATCTCATCCTATTTCTAGGATTTGTCCTGTCGATCATGAAATGAGCTCAATGTGGTTTAAGCTTAGAAAACCTCTACCTAATATGGGGATTGTCGGCTGATGAGCTAGCTAGACATAAACCCCCATTCCAAAATGGAATAATAGCTGGAAAAGGAACTAGCTCAAAATAGATACAAAGTGGAGCTTTCCCGACACCCTCATCAAACCCTAGTTACATATCTATATCCTCAATCCTCGTAGATAGCATTATTTTCTCCAAGCCAAGTCTTGATTTGAGAGTGCATGCTTCCTCCAATTCATCGGACCTACAAGACCCAACAGGAATTGCTCATCATGCCAAGTCCAGATGGGACACGACCCGAATCTGTCCCTTCATGCCACCTCAAAGCGGTCATTAGTGGTCTGGTTTGGCTGGAGCTAGAGGCCCATCCCCAACTGAAATGTACACTCAGTTCGAGTTGGCCAGTGCTTACCTACCCATAAAGAGTACGGATGAGATAAGATGAACATGGGTGATGTGAGAGCTCTTGGGTTTTGAAGCTCATTCATAAAAGCAAAATACATATATTAATCTGATACAGAAGTGACAGAGTAGTGATCTGTGAAGTGAATCTGTCGATGCGAGCTATGCCTCCTCCTCTTCTGAGTTCGAAAAGGCATATCTTTTTTAGGTCAAATGGAGTAACGGGGCCATGCTAGCTGCACCTAGAGTGCTGCATTTTATAATATTTGTATGCTTTATCGTCTGAGTCCGAGTGTCCATGGAAAGGCAAAGCTCCATGCGGCTTATCTTCTTGGGTGACCTCCCAAGTTGATGAGAGATAGACCTGATGATGATGTTGATGCAAGTAGACAATAGAGCACATACGGGGCATGTAATACCAGCAGCACACCATAGTGGACTTCAAGGCCTTGCTCTTCAAAAGTGCAACCGCACTACTGAATATGTAATCCACTACCTAGATCTAGTGGGACTTCTAAGTGAGCTAGGCGGGGAAAAAAAAGGAGGGAAAGTGGTCCACTAGCTCCGCTCCTTCCATGAAATTGGCACTCTATGTTTGCTTGAATTTCGCAAACAATTTGAAAATTCTTAATGGACATCTGTTATAGAAAATTATGAAACACGCATTCAAGAGAAAGTCTCGAGTATAACCACATATTCGAGATCCAATTGCTGCGGACCACGGGCTTGGGCACGAAGGTCACGGTCGAGGCCGCGAGAGACCTGGGCCTAGCTGTCGGGGTCCCAAGCCTATCCTCGAGGAACCAAAATAGAGAATTGAAATCGATAAGAGCGTCGTAGATTCACATGCACGTAACTGAAAAGCCCAAGATCATAAGAATTTGATTTTCGCAGCCGGACCAATTTTCCTCCCTAGGTGGTTAGATGATTTCTCTAGGACACATATAATTTTTAGGATCCTGATCAATTGAGTGAATAAATCGATAAGTTTGATCTCAAGCAATTCTTCGGTTGGTAACTTACCTCAAATCTAGAACGATTGAAGATTCTAGAAGTTCTAGTTCTGCTCTTATCTGCCCTGTTGGGCTCTATGACGAGGCATACCTATTGGAGAGTCCTAAAACTCAGATTTTAGTATTCAAATCGATATTATGATGCCCTAATCATTTTTGCTTCTATAGACAATTGAAGTCGGCAACATCATAACATTAGAGACAAGTGATATATTTAACCAAACATTATAACGTCTAAACAAAGCACGAAAATTGCACCTAGACGTTAGTGTCACGGGCCGGATAATCTAATGTTCCCTTACCCATGTGGTATCAGCCATGGCCTATCATGGATAAGGAAACCTCTGGACCGTGACATTAGAACTTTAACTTACAACCAAAAGAAATGAACAAAAAGAGACATGACAAGGTTGGTAACTTGATTGACAATAGTACTAACAAAATACAACTGTCTCTAAGCAAACTAAATATTTATTGAATAATTCCCCTGCTCTCGTTCGAATCAGCAATTGGTGGGTCGAACATGACAAAAAAAGTCCTTTCATTAATCAACTGCTCATACGGAAAATTATTTAATTTTGTCAAGCTGGATGGGGTATACATCATCTTCCAAATCACCCTTGCCTCCAGTAAGGCAGACATAATGTTGCTTTGTATTCTTCGATTTGACGAGGGGTTCTTACCACTGGGTCCAAATTGGAATTCGCAAACTCGGAGGAGGATGATTCTTTGTCCGGCGTCTCGGTAAATTTTTCTGACGCACACACTTGTCTTTATATAATTATATAGAAGTAGATTTATTTGCCTCTAAAAACATATTTGAGGCATGTAAATTTACCTCTAAAAATCTGTTTTGAGGTAAAGACTTTTGCTAATTGCCAAACATACTTGTACTTACCCCGTGTTGTTGCATTAATAATATTTGGAGGTAAATTAATTCCGCCGATGTCAAACTAATCAATTCAAAATTTGAGAATTAGAAGGAAAATCATGTAATTGGCTAAAAAATTTCGCTTCTATTTGTTATTGCCATTGTTGCAAAAAATCGATGGTTGCGATTGAAATCGATTTTGCCAATCATCTGAAATCAATTTGTGTTCCTATTCATCTTGTGGAGCACTTCTGCTCTTAACCACAATTGGATCGTCCGGGCCCAATTACCACCCCCTTTTATTCAACACACGGGAAGGCCCAACAAAGGAAAACCGGCCCATGATTGATCCGACCCGGAATTCCCGACCCGTCATGAAGAGGATTCGGTTCGGATCCGACCCTCCCCTCGTTCATCCATTACTTTAAATTTGGAGAATCGGTATGTGCCAACGAAAATGACATAAACAATCTCTAAAATTTGATCAAATGTGTAACGTGATCCATAAACTTTTCATTTGTTTAATATAGTCTCTGAATTTTAACCCACTGTATAATATGTATAATGAATTTTTAATTTATTCAATGTCGTTTCTGAACTTTTGGTACATATTCAATTTAGTATCCGAATTATATGAAAATATTCAATATAATTTTTCCATTAATTCAAGTTTAATGACTACATTCACGAACTACTTTGAACATTATTGTATAGTGTATGGACTTTATGAAATACGTATTAAAAATTTATGGATCATATTGAATAATATTAAGCTAAAATTTAAAAATTATATCGAATAAATTAAAAATTTAGGGACTGCATTATATATGTGAGCAAAATTTAGTTTTTTATGTCATTATCCCGTCATTCGACTGGTCACCCTCTCCATAAAACTCTCATAAACCCTAAAAACCCTTTCAGTGTCAACCGTCTCTCCCGCACCAATTTCAGCTGGGAAAATCCATCGCCATGGCGAAGAAATCCGGGCTCGCCGGCTCCGGTTCCGGCGACGGGGCGGCGAAGAAGAAGAAGGGCAAGGGCAGGCCGCGCCCCGGTGCGGTCGCCATGAAGGCGAGAGCCCCGGAGCCCAACCCTTTCGAGACCATCTGGTCCCGCCGCAAGTTCGACGTCCTCGGCAAGAAGCGCAAGGGCGAGGAGCGCCGCGTCGGCCTCGCCCGCTCCCGCGCCATCGAGAAGGCAATTCCCACCGACGCCGGCTCGGCCATCCCGTGTGCCTTTTTGTGCTTCATGCGCGGGATTTGTTTTGATTGGGGGTGTTTCGGTTGAATGCAGAGGAAGAATACGCTGTTGAAGGAGTACGAGCGGAGCGGCAAGGCTTCGGTCTTTGTGGATAAGCGGATTGGGGAGGATAAGGAAGGGATGGAAGAGTTCGAAAAGGCTATTCTGAGGTCCCAGCGGGAGTACAAGGTAAGGGATGATGTGAGCGCACTACATTTTGCGTGCCCATTACTTTTTACTTGCTTGCGTTTAAGTAGCAAGAGTTAAGTTGTGGTGGCGGCCGGGAAGTGTCTATACCCTGTTCGCGTGGCCAACACTTTGCAAAGCTGTGTTCAATGAAGCAACTAAGTTTTGAACTTTCTGCAGCGCACTTAACAGGGATGATGTCCTCTTCGGGTTGATATTACACGTTTGCATTTAAGGAGAGGAACCCGTCGTGTTATTTAGTATTGCGTGCACATAACATGCTCGGCCACTGCTGCAGGATTCAATAATTTGTTTAATGAGATTAAATTGGAGTGTTTCCATTCACCTCTCTATAGTGTTCATCGTAGTGTTGTAATTGTATCTTTCATTTTGCAGTTGAAACTGAATAAAAAGAGCAAGTACAATTTATCTGATGGAGAAGAAGATGATCATGAATATGAAGCAGGTGCATTTATGGGAAGGGACGATTTTGAGGATGAAATGTTGCCGGACGATGATGACAATGGTGGTGGTGCCGAAACAGCTGGATCTTACAGTATGTCATGACTCTAGCAATTTCGTGCTAAAGTACTACTGGCCAATGATGTAGGAAATTGAATCTATCTATCTGATAGTTTCTATTTGATCTTGTGAAGAGCATGAATACCTTATTCTCATCGCTGTGCATGATTTGGAGCAGGCATTGGATTAATGATAGACTAGCAACGCAGAATCCAATGCATAGATATTGAATTAGTGATGTTATTTCCTTGCACTTGGGGATGAATGTAGAAGGACTTTGGGGGGCCAAAGTGAAGAAGTTTTAAGGAAGCAAACTACTTTCATTATTGTTAAATGTTAACTTCATATATGTGGAAAAGTCATTTAGATGAAGAGTCTAGATTTGCTTCCTCCATATAAGAAGTCTCCCTCCCAAAGAGCCACCTTTAATGAGGTGAATATCTAGAGAGATGCAGTTTATAGTAAGAATGACTGTGTGGAGTTGATGACATATTTTGGATTTTGACTGAGAATAATAACCCCTTGGATTTTGACTTATGATCTTGCCCATGTCCATTCTTTTATTTGTTTTTTTTAAGGCCTTGTCAATGTGCATCCTTGTAGTTTATTCAATGTCCATTCTTTGTTGTCTTTTTTTGGTTAGCCCTGTCAATGGCCATTCTTATGATTTATGCGCATTTGGCTTGGCTGCTGATGACTCTTGCTGTTTCCCTTTTGGATAGTATTGATATCTGGTAACACTAACTCGTCTTATTGTAGAGAAGTCATCTATCTCAAAGCAACTCTCTACTCAAGGTGCGAATTCACTTGAAACAAATGTAATAGAAGGTGAAGAGAATGTAAGATTTGCTGTATTATCTCACTTACTGCTTATTATCTAACTTACTGCTTTGACATCATTTGAAGTGTGTTTATGCTTTTAGCACTAGGAACTATCCTCCTGGTTGCTAGCTGCTACATCTCCTGTATTATGTTTGAGATATTGGGCGAAAGTTATTTCTCTTAATTTCTGCTTGTGCATCGGTATGGAGAGCCAATGTGATAATTTGGTTTAAGTTGCATCTTTGTATTGTCGATATTATACTTCTTCCTTTGAGTTCCAAATATTCTTTTTATTACTGGGCTACCCTCATGATTAGACATACACCACTTTCTAGCAATTTTTTGTTTTATGGTGAAAGAGCGATGCATGTCAGTTGATGTGACTTCGGATATCTTCCCGTTGTTGCATTTGCACCTGCATCATGCATTCCAATAGATTGTCAACTGATGCTAGATACTGATGTGGTCTTCTTTTGATGGCTTTTGACTTTAGAAGCACAAAAGCAAAAAAGAAGTTATGGAGGAGATTATATTTAAGAGCAAGTTGTTCAAGGTGGGGACTTTTCTTGTTATTGTGTTGCTTCATTCTTGAGGCTGTATTGCACAACGTTTTGATTCTTCTCAATTTTAACCAGGCTCAAAAAGCAAAAGATAAGGAAGAGAACGAGCAATTAATGGAAGAACTAGACAAAAATTTTACCTCCTTAGTGCAGTCTGAAGCTTTACTTTCTTTGACTGAGCCTGGCAAGATGAGTGCATTAAAGGCACTTGTCAACCAGAGTGTCCCGAAAGAGCCTCTGAAGATTACTAAATTCACCGCCACAGAGAAAGCAGAAACTTTTGCTCAGGTAGAGTTCTATTATAATGTTTTTTCCCCATTAATTTGTATTTATCATTCTTAGATAATTTGAACCTTTTGTTCTGTTGGTAGCTGTCAAAATGGTCTCTATCTACCTTGTTATCGGTTCCATTTTGTAGCTTCTGCAGTGTGGCCACCTTTAACACTGTCAGAATTTTTAATCCATCCTGTGAACTGTGATCATTTGTCAGTGTCAGACGCTTAATTGGATCTACTTGTGACAGGACAAGCCTGATACCTATGACAAACTTGTAAAGGAAATGTCATTAGATATGCGAGCTCGGCCATCCGACCGGACGAAGACACCGGAAGAGATTGCCCAGGAAGAAAGAGAACGACTTGAGCAACTCGAGGTATAAAGTGCAATATTTTGTATCTTTTTCTCTTTGATTTCCATCCAGGGCAGTTCTATTTTGCTGGAGTTCTGTAATCAACCATTTAAGAACGCTATCTTCTAGTTCTTATATGGATGGGAAACAGTGGATTAATAGTGGAAAAGATACTGTATTAATGATGTTCGATGTCGTAGCTCATACTTTGTCCTTTCTGGTGTTAGATGTGCTGTTATTGTCTTTGAATAATATCGTCTCTTTATGGTGGAACAATTCAATTCATACAAAATAGTTGTTCTCAAATATTTAGTTTGGTTCAAGTTGATATCTCATTCAAAATTTTGAAGAATATCATTTACTCAAACCATTGCATCACCCTATTAGATTGCAAGTTGTCAGCTAGCTTTCAGCAGTATTAAGGAGGAACATGGCAACTACAGGTGCTCTAATCATCTCAGTAGGACGCTTGCGTAGTTTTCTTTGACCATGCTTATAGTGCTTGTGTGGGCTTTGCTATTTCACCTATGAACCCCATCTCTGACAAGGATACGCTAATTAGGTTTTGGAAGTTGGACGTCCTCTATTAGCTTATAATTATTCAGAAGAGATTGAACCCTTCATTTCAAAGTCGAATGTGATTTTTCACTTTATGATTTTTACTACATGCCAGGAAGATCGTAAGAAAAGGATGCTTGCTACTGATGATAATAGTGATGAGGATGATGAAGATGGTGAGAAACTATCTACTGAGAAGATTAGATCCTTATCAGGCGATGACCTTGGCGATTCCTTCTCACTGGATGAAGAAACCCAGACTAAGAAGGGCTGGGTTGATGAGATTCTTGAAAGAGAGGCTGCTGCTAACTCTGAGGATGAAGATGAGGATTTTTCTGAGGAATTAGACAGTGCTGAAGATGATGGTGGATCTGATGATGACAAAGATGATCATGACAAAACATATCTTCTCAAAGACTGGGAGCAAAGTGATGATGAAACACTTGATGCTGATCTAGAAGAAGAAGAAGAAGGGGAAGAAGAAGAAGATGAAGGGGAAGAAGAGGAAGATTACAATGATGCTGGTGAGAATAGTAAAGTACAAGTTGGGCATGTAGACAATAAAACAATGAAGAATGTGGATGTGCATGAAAATAAGAAGAAAGTTGCCAAACTTTCTGAAGGGACAAGCATCCTTCCCTTTTTGATTGAAGCACCAACAAGCTTGGAAGAATTTAATGTTCTGTTGGAGAATCGTTCCAATTCCGATATCGTTCTATTGATTACTCGAATTCGGGCTAGCAATGCAATAGCTCTTGCTGCAGAAAATCGAAAAAAGATGCAGGTATGAATCATTATCTGGCTATATTATGCTTTGACAGGACATTCTACTGCATGTAATCTTCTATTTCTTAACTGTTTACTTTAGCCAATTAATTGTGTTTCACTTGTGGTTTTCTCTGATTTGATAGAGTTCTGAATTATTTGATATAATTATTGTTTAGGGTAAATGTTCATTTAATAAAATAATAAGACCTATACAATCAAAGTAGGCATTTATTGCCTACATAAATTCAGGTTGTTTTCCAGCATTGTATTGTGTTGAGTATCTATTTGTTTTCTTTGATACAGGTTGAAAAACTATCTGTAGTTAAATAGAACATTTTAGGCCGGTTTTACAATTTCATTTAGAGTAACTTTGCCCTTTTCTTAATGATTTTTGGTGATGCATTTGAGGAGTAGCCAAACACTCTACTGTCCAAATTTGTTGCAGAAGCCTATGGTCTGAGTTTTCACTTCTTGTCAATACAGTTCGCAGGCATTTCTGAGGATGATCTGAGATGTATCTCATTTTGCAGGTGTTTTACGGTGTACTGCTGCAGTATTTTGCCGTCTTAGCAAGTAAAAAGCCATTGAATTTTCAGTTGTTAAATATGTTGGTCAAGCCATTAATAGAAATGAGCACAGAGATTCCATACTTCGCGGCAATTTGTGCTCGTGAAAGAATCCTAAGAACTCGAACACAGTTCTGTGAGGTCATTAAGAACTCAGGTTAGCTGCAGGGGAAAATTATATAACAATCTTATTGCTGGATGAAAGTTTGGAAAAGTTTTGTTGAATGTATTAGATGCTAATTGTCTGTTGTTCCCTTTACATTGGATAGACATCAGCAGTTGGCCGTCTCTGAAGACGTTGTTCCTTTTGCGGCTATGGTCACTGATATTTCCATGCTCCGACTTTCGTCATGTTGTCATGACCCCGGCTGCCTTGTTAATGTGTGAATATCTAATGCGTTGCCCCATTCTTTCGGGCCGGGATGTTGCTCTAGGGTCTTTTCTATGCTCTATGCTTCTCTCGGTATGTTCTCAAAACATATTTCTACTTCAAGTTGTTGCATATTGGATTTCTTTCCACAACAGGTCACTGAGATATATTTTTTATTTTGGTCAATAATGGCATGCAATGCACTGTAGTTCAATGTCACTAATTTGAGGGTCCATTATCGCTTTTGTGCCTTGGACTTGTTTGGGTGTGTGAACAAGTTCTTTTAAAAACTCCTTGTTCCTCTCATTGTGGTTCAGTTGGTTACTTTTTCTTACCGTGTGAGTATTTCCATTGTTGTGTTGTGGAATTTCTTCTTGTGGGTAGTGCCTTCGTACATGCTTAGCATTTCGTTAAGATCAGTGTACATTGTCACAGCTGTCCTACAAATTAAGGTCAATGGTAGTTGCTAAGTGATTGATTTTATTGATTTATACTTGCTACCATTGTGTAGACCATGTATTATTATCCATAATTCATAAATGTTTTTTTTCATGTCCTATAGGTTGTTTACAATGATTGGACATGATGTAAGTTAATTGCTTGCTAAGAATGCTTGCTGCTGGGTTTCTGCTTGAGCTAAATAGTCATTTTCTTCAGCACTCTTGACATGGTGTTTTCAGTTTTTTACATTCAATTTGCAACCTTGATTATATAGTGGTTGGTATTTTGAAGCTTCATTATTGGTTTTTAGATGTGCAGCTGCAATTAACTGATGTCACTTGTTTTTATTGAAGGTAACTAAACAATCTCAGAAGTTTTGTCCAGAGGCCATAATGTTTCTAAAAACTTTGCTCTCTGCAGCGATGGACAGGAAAATAGGACCTAACCAAAATTCTCAGGTACATGTCATGGTTTTCCTTTCCATATGTGAATCTGCCTGACAACTTGGGAATTTCAAGGAGACTGATGGGTTGCGATGAAATTGACTGGTATACATGTGTATGTTTTCTTGTGACAGTTTGGCGGTCTTATCGAATTTAGAGTGCAAAGGCCTCTACTTTGTATTCGTGAATGTGCAAGTGAATTTAGCCCTTTGAATTTTCTGAGAATAATTGACATGCCTGAGGAATCCCCTTTTTTCAGCTCCGATGGTTTCAGGTTAGTATGTTTTGGGTTTATCTTTTATCTCTTCTTTGCCCACCGTTCTTTTTAGTGCAGTACGGATGTTAGCTAATTGCAGTTTTCAAATGTCCATCCCTGTAATCAGAAGAAGTGAAATCTGCTCACAAGGATCTCATTGTGTATAAAATGTCATGATGGCTAAATGCATCCGTATGTCTATCTTCAGTCAAGTAATCTAGGTGGTGAGGTGGTGGTGTGTGATTGAAACTATCGTACGACCAGGGTACCTACATATATTTTCTTTATTGAAGAGTTTCAGGAGTCATATCATTTTGTTTAAAATACGAACTCGTTTATATGCAGGGCTAGCGTATTGGCTTCTGTGATTGAGACCCTTAGCGGTTTCGCCAGTATATATGGGAAATTAAGTTCGTTCCCTGAAATATTCATGCCAATTTCAACTTTGTTACTTGAAGTGGCACAACAACAAAACATGCCAAATGAGTTGCAAAATAAATTTGAGGATGTTGCTCAACTTATCAAGAGAAAAGCTGATGAACATCAGATGCTCCGGCAACCACTTCAACTGCGGAAGCAAAAGCCAGTGCCCATCAAGCAACTTAATCCTAAGTTTGAGGAGAAGTACTCTCTCTCTCTCTCTCTCTCTCTCGCAGATGTGGAGGTGTCATGCATGTAGTGTTTTGAATACGTGTAGTGCACCTTATTCACTGTATGCTTGGTGAAGACTGCATTCATCGGAATTTTTCCCTCTGTTAGTAAATGATTTACGTCAAGTATAATCTGATGGAGATATTTCCTTTTTTTTTTCCTGACAGCTTTGTTAAGGGTAGAGATTATGATCCAGATCGTGAACGTGCTGAAAGGAGAAAGTTGAAGAAACTTATCAAGCAGGAAGCCAAAGGGGCGGTTCGTGAACTTCGTAAAGACAATTATTTCTTATTTGAGGTGAAAGAAAAAGATAAGGCATTGCTGGAACAAGAAAAATCGGAGAAGTACGGAAGAGCTAAAGCTTTTCTGCAAGAGCAGGAGCATGCTTTTAAATCGGGACAACTTGGAAAAGGCAGTAAGAGGAGGAGATGAAAGCAGGACTTGGCAATACTTTTTCATCAAAGAGTATGTTGGACTGTAAAGGAGGTTCAATGCTTGGGACTTGTGAATTCGGCTTCCGATTGTAGAAGAGCTGCTTGTTGCGTAGTAGAGGATATTGATGCAATGCGGCTGAGTACGTGCGGCATATAGATATTGCAGCAGATGAGTAAGTGATATACCAAGAGCAGTTTTTCCAGTCATGCTCCAGCTTGTTGAATCAAGGGCTAGTGTGAAAAGGAATCCAATATTTTGAGGGACATTATTCCTGTAGGAATGTCATTTGAATTTTGAAACAGTTATGTAAAACAGTGCTAATATTATCGTATTGGCTTTTGGTTCCAATACCGGCGATTTATGTTTGATTCTAGTTAAAATACATGTATGATCTATGGTTGTTGCTAGACCATTTACAATATCTAAAAGATATGAGAAATGAATGTAACGGAAGAAATCCTTCAGTGATGGCATCGCAATGTTGAACTGTGTGAAATCCCATTCTTTTTGGTTATTGAAGTCCAATTAAATTTCTAGAGTAACTTGAGGAAGTACATATTCTCGAGATTAGGCATCACTGGATCTCTTCAAGAACAAATGCAGTGCCACTTTGAATGTTGATTTATCCAGCTTTAAGTCGGATGCCACAGTAGCATATATAAGGCATGGATGACAAATTATGCTCGTCTATTTACTAATAGTAAGTTCTCTAATTATGCTTATATGTCTATATAGTATTTTCTAGCCATATATGTATTTCTATACATCTGTTGAATGTAGTTACATTGCATTTGGCATATGACATGAGCGTAGCTATTATTTCTCAAGAGTTTTGTCCCTCATCTTTAGAATATGTTGGTAGCTATGACCTGTGAAAATTCAAGATTCATCTTGTATTCAATTCTCTAAAAATAGCACTATGATAGAGTTGTTCTCTCTAGGATCCAGAGCGACATCCGAAATTGGTTGACTGGATCGCATTTACCCTTTTTTCTGTCCGAACGAGACAGGTTGCGATTCCTCTTTCTCTGTACGGGTTGCCAGTTGCATGTACTTTTTTCATTTCTGGAGTGGAGAGTGATGAGCAAAGATTGATACGAAAGTGAAGAAGAAGACCAAAACAGCAATTACACAACGGGATCTACTTGAATTTAAGTTTTACAAGGAGCAGCAGTGAACATAAAGATATAGCTACACAGACAATAGCCTCTCTGGCTTCACTTATTGATCCTTCATCGAGCAGAAGGGTGGATAATTTCAGAAAATTCTGCCCCGATATTCATATGGGAGTTATATAATTGATGAGCTGCTAATATTGACGAATCGCCGGTAAATATCTTATTTGCTGGACCACAGAGCTTTTCTCCGTCCGCCCTGCTCTGCTGCTGCAAAGCTAGCTCTAGATTGCATAAAACTTCTCCCATTGACGGTCTCTCTCTTCCCGTTTCTGCCAAACACTTTACTGCTATATCAGTGAATGTCTTGAAACATCCAGGGTCGATCTTTCCTTGTAGGTATGGATCCATGATCTGACCAAGCGTACCTGAATGATAACATTTTAGGGCCCATTCAGCCAGACTCTGCGGTCCATCCTCGTTACCATGTGCAATAATATTGCAGGTTTGGCACAGAGAACTTCAAACAACACTACTCCGAATGAGTATACATCTGACTTTGCTGTAAGCTTGAGACAGCGATAATACTCGGGGTCAAGATATCCTATGCTTCCTTTTACCACAGTGCTAACTTGCATGTCGGGTTGGTTCATTGCATCGGCCCAAGTTTCGACAATCCAAAGTCGGACACCTTAGCTTCCCATCTGTTGTCCAACAGTATGTTGCTGCTCTTCACATCTCGGTGGATGACAATCTGCTTGGAGCCAGTGTGGAGGTAGTGTAATCCGCGTGCTGCGCCAATGCAAATTTTGAGTCTTTTCTTCAATGGAAGTGGAGGGCTGTTGGTCTTATATAGATGTTCTCGCAAGGTCCCTTGACCCATGAAGTTATAGATGAGTATCATTTCTTTGTCCTCCAAGCAATACCCTATAAGAGAGACAAGGTGGTGATGGCGAAGCTTTGAGAGCATGGATATTTCGGTTTGAAACTCGTGTAAGCCCTGGTGCGAAGAAGGATCGGCACGCTTTACAGCAACCAAAGTCGCACCGCCATCCAAGGATCCCCTATAGACCTTCCCAAATCCCCCGGTTCCGATGAGAACGTCATCAGAAAAGTTGTTGGTTGCGGACTTGATCTTTGTCAATGGGACGGCATTGTCCCCAAATGGCTTGCAGCTTTTTGAACTTCGGTTTTGGCATAGGGAGATTGCGCCAGACCACTCTGAAGGTATGTACAACAGTGTAAAGGAAAATAGAAAAAGCACTGCAACAACCCCATACATGATGCCAAAACCAATTCGAGTAGCTTTATCTTCTCTGTAAAGCGAACCATGAGAAGTTGCTGTACCAAATGGATCGAGCCCTGCCAAATTATCACTGTAGTCTGGTAATTTGAATATCTCCAACCCATTCAAGATGCCCAGACAATCACATTCAGGTGGACCATTATCTCTACGTATTGTGATCTGCAGATGCTCCATTCCTCCATCTTGTTCTGAGCAATTAATAATATAATCTCGATAGACTGGCCTCCCAGGCATACCACTCCATCTCACTATATCAGCGTTATTTTCGACGGTTATATTATTGATGTAGACTTTGAAAACCCTTCCATTTTGTCGGATCTCTCTTGTGATATCGCAGAAATGAAGCCTGACAAGGTAGCAGGACCCCGAATTCACGAGGAATGACCAGTTCATATCTCCAGCAGAGTGTGGACTTAATGTTCTTGCTGTCGAGTAGACCTTCTCTGGTGCAGTGTACGCAGGCACCTCAGGGCTGTACATTATTTCAAGCTCAGATCGCAGAATAGAAGTGGGGGGTCCATGGGCAATGAAGTAATATTTATCTCCTAACCACAAGCGCGACAATCCGGCATCGCGCTCAGGAGGGATGTCATGGCCACCTACATTTACCCTGTGCACTGTCTCGAGCACTGTGTAATTTGCAGCATATATTCGGGAGGAATTACCAACAAGTGGATGTGGAACATCTTGTATGTATAGATTCGCAGGCATAGTCACGACTTCGATCTTGTTCACAAATGCATAGGCTTCGGAATGACTGGATGAAGGGGTAAATGTGATGCTTAGCATTTGGGCATCCACCTTTAGGACAAATTCTCGAATCACATACTTAATATCTGAAGGATCTCTTGAATAAGAGGACTGGGAGGTTCGCAACAAAGTGTATTGACCGATGCTGATAGAGAATAGTGCATCCGATACATTTAGGCCTGGATACGTGGCTAGACAGAAATGAAGTCTGATGAACTTGTGTCCAGGAGAGACAGTAAAGTTGTGGGTAAATTGTGTACGAAATATACAAACAAATATCTTGGAATGCACCGTGGTACCAGAGTCCTCGAGATCGGCTTCATTGGCTTCAACTTTGAGGCTGAGACTTTTTATCTGGACATCAGATGTTATCACTTCCGCGGAAGAATCACAGTAGTATGTCGTTATCTCCATTGGCACGGGAGAGTGTTCATCTGCATACACGACTATAAAGTTTTTTTCTAGGAAGAGACCGAGGTAACATAGAACAAGAATTAGTCGCATGTTGGTTTTGACCATGGTGTGTACGTACTACATGGAACTTGAGAAGAATGATGATGCAGAAACGGAAATTTGAAACTCCCACAGAGCAAGTCTTTTTGGTTAGATATCAAAGTCTTGTTAGCTTCCGTAATACCGCGAACAGAAATGGACTCCTGGAGCTTGACCTCTTCCTGCCATCTAATTCTGAGATAGAAGTAGAAGAAAAAGGCAATGCAGATTACGTGTTCTAAGCGAAGACTTTGGAATATGACACATCAAGTCTGCTCAAGTGGCTATCCTGGCTGGATCCTACAATGGAGATTGATTGTGAATGCAGAGAGGTATATGTTTCTTTTGGCAACGGGTACATTGTATAGATGCCAAAGGGAAATCTTCTGAGAGTAATTATAGAAGTATTGATGATCTCAGAGAATTGATATAGCAACTCTTTTGGTTAGACAGCTGTCCTACTACAGGGGAAAGATGTAGCCTCCTAGAGTTTGACCTCTGCAGCTCAACAATTCAGACACAAAGAAACAAAGGAAGCAGTCAGTCACGTAGCATATACGTTCTTGGCGAGACTTGACTGCTTAAATTGGCTAGTTGTCAGTCCAAATCAAAGACCAATTAATTCTGGGATCAATTGTCAAGAGTGTCTAAAGGCCGCTCAATGTAGCAATGCTAGGAAAGTTACTGGACATAGGCGCTTCAGTACATTCCTATCGACCATCACCGTCTCAAAGTCCTAGTTTTGAATGGATCAACGTCGTTGGAGGATCTGAATCTCTTGAAAGAAGTCATCGAATGAACCTCTTGATATATATATTTTATTTTTTTTCGGCCATTACAGATTCCCATAAGTCAGGTTCTACCCTAAAATCACGTTCACCCCTTATCTCTTTGACTGCATAGCCAATAAAAAGCAATCTCTCATGTCTCTTTATCCTGGGGGTTTTCGTCAAAAGGCAAAAGAATTGTCCCATTGACAATGAGATATAATGATTTCTAACCATTGGCTAGGCTCAGACAATGGAAGAATACTTTAATATAGTAAGAAATGGTTATGTGATGAAATTTCAAATTCGTTCTTTTCGACGTGCAAATATTGACTCGACATACGAGCTATAATTAAATGATAAGAAAGTTAGATAGAATGAAGTTTTGTGGTTGAGCCTCATCATCACAAAGCTCCATTCTCTCACTCTTCCCTTTACATTACTTAAAAACCATTACCTTTTATATTAATTAGTAAAAACAAACTTGAATAATCCACCTAGTTCACATTGATGCAATATAAAGCGGTCATGCGTAGTTACTTATATATGCTGATTGATATGTGACTTAACTTTATATGTTGGCTAATAAGAAATACAAGCTGATTGAAATAGTTTAAAAATTATATTAACATAATAAAACAGTTAGTTGTGTCTACTTAGAAACCATTACCTTTTACATAGGCTAGATAAATAAAACCTAATTATTTCATTTATCTAACATTGGTTTCCTAAAAGATTTTAAGATGGATTCATCTCTAATTGTATTATCATCTATAATCACCTTATATACATATAATTAAAATTAAAATGTTGCGCATTAATTATTTACAAGTTAATGCTTTAATAATTTAATTTTCAAGTAAATCGATGATGTTTTATCTTGGAATATGTCATGATGGGGTGGTCCACGATGTTGTATGATCGGTAACGTGACGGAAGCGGATCGTAACTTTGCAATTAAATCGGGAGCCGTAGAAACGATAGAGAAATAAAATAAGAAACAATAAAATGACACGAGAAATTTATGTGATTCGGTCCGAATGTCGAAATCTACGTTCACGGGGAGAACCGATAAATAATTCACTAATAAATCGGAGAATTATAGGATTATAATCACTCACGCTTAAATATTTTCTAGCCCTAATATATATCTAGTACCTATAGTATTTAATAACTCAACTCGATGGACTCTCTCTCTCTCTATGCACAAATATCTCCGAGCTCACGCCTCTCTTCTGGAGCCCTCTTCTCGGCTTGCTTTTTTTCTCTACGTCCTCTGCTCCCCCTTTCATAGGAGAATGGATGTAGAAATGAGACAAATGGCGCCCATCTTCAGAAGCCAATGCGTCTTCGTGCAATTAATGATGGCATGTGCGCATGACCATCATGCACCGCCACAAGAAAAATGAACAAGGCTTCTGCCTTCTTTCTTTCTTTCTTCATTTAACAACAAAAGACAAAGGAAGCCCACAAAAGTTGACCAAAAATAGAGAGAAAGAGGACAGCGGCGCTCACTTCTTCCTCTATGGGCGTGCATTCACATCATGTGCATGCATTTAAGAGGAAGAAGAAAATGGACGTGGAGGCATGCACATAAACCCATGTGCAGAAGATTTGTCCATCTTCATTTAATGCTCCACGATTGGCGCTGTTCTTGTTGAATGCTCCACGGATGTTCTTTTCCTTTCCAGAGTATTAATAAACGTTGAGCGTGCGAATTAAGTATCACGTATGGCTCAAACTCGAGACACAATTTAACACACGAAACAAAACATTACAGAGTATATACTCAGTACACACCACAACGGGTTGCCAGTTGCCTATACTTTTTTCATTTCTGGAGAGTGATGAGCAAAGATTGATCCGAAAGTGAAGAAGAAGACCCATACAGCAATTACACAACGGGATCTACTTGAATTTAAGTTTTACAAGGAGCAGCAGTGAACATAAAGATATAGCTACACAGACAATAACCTCTCTGGCTTCGCTTATTGATCCTTCATCGAGCAGATGGATGGATAATTTCAGAAAATTCTGCCCCGATATTCTTATCGGAGTTATATAATTGATGAGCTGCTAATATCGACGAATCGCCGGCCAGTACCTTATTTGCTGGACCACAGAGCTTTTCTCCGTCCGCCCTGCTCTGCTGCTGCAAAGCTAGCTCTAGATTCCATAAAACATCTCCCATTGATGGTCTCTCTCTTCCTGTTTCTGCCAAACACTTTACTGCTACATCAGTGAATGTCTTGAAACATCTAGGGTCGATCTTTCCTTGTAGATATGGATCCATGATCTGACCAAGTATACCTGAATGATAACATTTTAAGGCCCATTCAGCCAGACTCTGCGGTCCATCCTCATTCCCATGTGCAGGTACTATTGCAGGTTTGGCGCAGAGAACTTCAAACAACACCACTCCGAATGAGTACACATCAGACTTAGCTGTAAGTTTGAGACAGCGATAATATTCGGGGTCAAGATATCCTATGCTTCCTTTTACTTTGGTGCTAACATGCATGTCGCATTGGTTCATTGCATCAGGCCCAAGTTTAGATAATCCAAAGTCGGATACCTTAGCCTCCCATCTCTTGTCCAACAGTATGTTGCTGCTCTTTACATCACGGTGGATGACAATCTGCTTTGAACCTGTGTGCAGGTAGTGCAACCCGCGTGCTGCACCGATGCAAATTTTGAGTCTTTTCTTCCATGGAAGTGGAGGATTTTTGGTCTTGTACAAATGTTCTCGCAAGGTCCCTCGAGCCATAAAGTTATAGATGAGTATCATCTCTTTTTTCTCAAAACAGTACCCAATGAGAGAGACGAGGTGGTGATGGCGAAGGTTTGATAGCAAGGAGATTTCGGTTTGAAACTCATGTAAACCCTGGTGCGAAGAGGAATCTGCACGCTTTATAGCAACTGCCCTGGCTTCTCCATCTAACCATCCCCTATAGACCTTCCCAAATCCGCCGGTTCCAATGAGAACAGCATCGGAGAAGTTGTTGGTTGCCGACTTGATCTTTGTCAGTGAGATGACATTCTCCCAGTGTGGCCTGCATGGCTTTGGGCTTTGATTTCGGAATCGGGAGAAAAAGCTAAACCACCCCGAAGGTATGTAAAGTATACAGAAACACAGAGAAATCAATGCTGGGATCCCACATACAATAAACAGGACAATCCGGAAAATTGTCTGATTGTTGTGAAGCGAGCTCTGAGAAGTATTGGAACCAAATGGATAGAGGCCTGCAAAGTTACCAGTAGAGTCTGGTAATTTGAAAATTTCCAGCCCATTCAAGATTCCCTGATCGTAAAATCTAGGCGATGCATTACTATGTATTGTGATCTCCAGATACTCTAATCCTGTTTCTGGCGTATCCCTCAATGAGGTTGAAGTAAAAGAAGAATTGATAATATAGTCTCTATAAACAGGCCGTCCTGGCATACCGCTCCACTTCATGATATCTGCTTGATTTTCTGCAGTAGCCTTATTAAAATAGACTTGGAAAACCCTTTCATTTTGAATGATTCCTCTTGTGATCTCGCAAAAGTGAAACCTGACGAGGTAGCAGAACCCAGAACTTACAGGGAATGACCAGCTCAAATCCCCTTGAGGAGTAGTACTACCGTAGGGAATCAATGTTCTAGCCGTGGAGTAGACCGTCACTGGTGCAGTGTAATCAGGCACCTCCGGGCTGTAACTTATTTTGACCTTGGATGAGTGAATAGCCATGGAGGCTCTAGAAGGCATAAGAAAACCTTCATCTCCTGACCACGAACGCAACATGCCGGTGTCATGTTCAGGGGGGATGGGTTGCCCGCCTATGTTAACCCTGTACATTGTTTCGAGTGCTGTACGATTGTAGGCATAGAATTGGGATGGATTTCCTATAAGTGGAAGTCGAACATCTCGGATGTACAGGTTTCGAGGCATCGACATGACCTCAATCTTGTTCACAAATGCATAGGCATTGGAATGATCAGGTGAGGGGGTAAATGTTATGTTCAGAACGTGGCAATCCACCTCCACAATGAATTCTCGAATCACATGCTCTATATCTGAAGGATTACTCGTATAGGAGGATTGGGAGGTTCGCAACAATGTGTATGGCCCCACGCTGACAGAGAACAATGCGTCAAATATGTCTAAACCGGGATAGGGGGCTGGATAAAAATGAAGTCGAATGAAGTTGGGGCCGGGAGAGACAGAAAACGGGTGGGTCATCGGTGTGAGGTAAATACAAGCGGATGACTTGGGATCCTTCGGGGTACCGGGATCCTGGGAGGCATCTCTATTGGCTTTGACTGCAAAGCTGAGGCTTTTTCTCTGGACATCAGATGATATATCTCCTGCTGAAGAGTCGCAGTTCAGTGTTACCTTCTCGGTCGGCACGTAAGGAGGTTTACCGGCACGTGTAAGGACCACAAAGTTTGTTTCTAGCAACAAGAACAGCACGGAATATAGCTGAAGTATTGAGGCATGTCTGTTTTTGCAATTCGTGTACATTGGATGGATATCAAAGGGAAATATTCTGAGAGGAATTAGAGAAGGATTGATGATCTCAGAGAAACAGGACTTTGATACTTGATATAGCAAGTGTTTTGTTTAGATAGCTCTCCTACTACAGTGGAAAGAAGTACACTCCTATAATTTGACCTCTGCTGGCGAATAATTCAGACACAAACAAACATGAAAGCAGTCAGTCGCGTAGGATATACGTTCCTGGCGAGTAATTGACTGCTTAATTTAAGCAAGTTGTCAGTCCAAATCAAAGACGAATTAATTCTCAGATCAAATTGTCAATAGCGTCTAAAGTCCGCTCGATGTGGCAATGCTCGGAAAGTTCCTGGAAACAGACGCTTCAGCACATTCCTATTGCCCATTCACTGTCTTGAAGTCCTAGTTTTGAATGGATTAGCCTCGTTAGAGAATCTATATCTCTCGACCAGAGGATGAATCTCTTGATTACATATGCCGCTTCATCATTGGGGTTTTCATCGAAAGGATTAAGAGTTGTACCAATGAAAATGAGTAGATAATGATTTCTAACTATTAGCTAGGCTAGGACGGTGGATGAGTAATCTAAATTAGTAACACACGGTCAAGTGGTGAGATTTAAAATTCATTTTTGGGAAAATTTCAAAGAACATGAAGCGAGGCACTTTATTTAAAAGATGATTTGGAGTGGATTTTGTCTCAAATGAAGACATAAAGTGGCTAAGTTAATCTCAAATAAGGGTTTGAACTCGTGGCTGGTCGAATTTTCGCCGAACGGCTTGTTCCCAGGACTGGGGCAGGGGTTATATTGTCCAAAAGAATTCTACGTTGGCCCAATTTGAAGAAGCTAGGTTTCACGTGCCACCGAGGTCAAATTGATTTTACCTGCACGCGTAAGGACCACAGAGTTTGTTTCTACCAACTTTGGAACAGCACGTAATGTAGCGAAAGAGAAGAGGCATGTTTCTTTTTGCAATGCTGGAACATTGGATGGATGCCAAAGGGAAATCCTCTTAGAGGAACAGGACTCTGATACTTGATATAGGAAAGTCTTTTGGTTAGATAGCTCTCCTACTACAGTGGAAAGAAGTAGACTCCTAGAGCTTGACCTCTACCCGCCAATAATACAGACACAAACAAACACGAAAGCAGTCAGTCACGTAGGACCAACGTTCTTGGCGAGTTCTAGTGGGATGTAAACGTTACGCTGTCCTAGTGCTTAATTTGGGAACTTGTCAGTCCAAATCAAAGACCATTTAATTCTCGGATCAATCAATAGTCAAGTGCCTCTAAAGTCTGCTCAATTTAGCAATGCTTGGGAAATTCCTGGAAACAGGCGCTTCAGTGCATTCCTATCGGCCATCACCGTCTCAAAGTCCTAAGTTTTGAATGGATTAGCGTCGTTAGAGGATCTGAATCTCTTGATAGAAGTCATCATATGAATCTCTTGACAGCAGTCATCGGATGAATTTGAGCCCGTCCAACAAATACACACTTGTCTGACTGAATGAACAAAGTCCAAGTCTTGACTCTTCCTCGTAGAAGGAAGAAGCCAAAGAAAGCAACACTCGGGCCTTCCTAATTTCCTTGGCTTCACATGGGACTGCAAGGAAAGTAAGAGGAGAGATTTGCTTCACCCAAATCGAAGGAGTCTACACGACCTTTACATTAAATAAAAGAAACGTGCAGGAAGAAGAAAGTTGGACTTCATTAAATGCATGTCTCCTACGTCCATGTGCATGCATGCCCATAAAGTCTTGTGGGCACCGAATGTCTCTTCTCTTTTGTCATCATTTGTGGGGGCCGCTCTTGACATTTCTAAGCCCAAATTTGTCTTGTTTTTGCTCCCTTTCTCCTATGAAAGGACGGGTCGTCTGAAGAGCAAGAGAGAGAGCTCATCAACGTAAGAGAAGAAGAGGCAAAATTAAGAAGTGGTGGAGAAAGAGCTCGCGTAGGACGAGAGAGCACGAAGCAGAAGCGGAGGTGCTCTTGATCACCTTGTGTTTGTGCAATATATTTACATCTATTTTGAGTGTTTTACGTGAGGTTAAACACAGTGGATTTCGGGTATAATTATAGGGCCGAGAAACACTTGACCGCGAGTCATTATAATTCTGTAATTCTCCTTATGTTTGATAGTGGATTATTTACTGACTCTCCCTACGGACGTAGGTTCCGAAACTCGGATCGAACCACGTAAACTTCTCGTGTGATTTTCTTCTTTCACTCTGTTTCGCGTTCTAATTCCATCGCTCTCGTTTATGCTTCTGCGCACAGCAGACAATGAGATATAATGATGTCTAACCATTGGCTAGGCTAGGACAGTGGAAGAATAATCTCATTTAGTAAGAGATGGTCAAGTGATGATATTTCAAATTCATTCTTTTTTATGTGCAAATATTGACTCGATATACAAGCTATAACCAAATAATAAAAAAGTCGGATAGAATGAAATTTCGTGGTTGAGCCACACCGTCACAAAGCTCCATTCTCTCACACTTCCCTTTATGTTACTTAAAAACCATTACCTTTTATACTAATTAGATGAAAGAAAAAGCTTGAATATTCCACCTATTTGACATTGATGCATAATAAAGCGGTCATGCGTAGTTACTTATATATGCTGATTGATGTGTGAATTAATTTTATACGTTGGCTAATAAGAAATACAAGCTGATTGAAAATAGTTTAAAAAATTATATTAACATAATAAAACAGTTAGTTGTGTCTACTTAGAAACCATTACCTTTTACATAGGTTAGATAAAAAAACCTAATTATTCCACTTATCTAACATTGATTTCCTAAAAGATTTTGAGATTGATTCATCTCTAATTGTATTATCATCTATAATCACCTTATATACATATAATTAAAATTAGAATGTTGCGCGTTAATTATTTACAGTTTAATGTTTCAATAATTTAATATTCAAATAAATCTTTTGTAATCTGATCTAATTAAATTAGTGAATATAGTTCCCACTTTCCTCTCTATTCCTAATTCTCATCTCCGTACGTGGGAATGTATGAGAAAGTTTCACAAGCCAACAAAAGAACAACTGTACATTGAATTCGTGCCTAAAGTCATGCATAATTTATTTACTCTTTCAAAATTATTCTCTCAATGGAATGAACCCAAATAGGAATACCTATGCAGACCACTCGAGGGCCATGACACCTCTTTGCTCGAGTTTCATTGCAGTAAAGAAAACTTAGGGAATCCGATACGACAAGATCCAACATTCCAACAGGGTTGCATTGGTGAAAGTCAACATCTCCATTTGATATTTTAATTTTATACTCAGTTTTGAGAAAATTACCAAAAAAGTTTTAAATATATTATGCAGATATCAATGTAATCATTCCAGCCGATTTTGATTGGAAATTGTTGATGTGAACGCCAACTGTCTCACGTGGTACAGCTGGCGCTAATATGGACAATTTCTACAAATTTTTATTATATATATTTTTTATTTTTTATTTTATTATTATTTTTTATGTACTTTTGTTTTCCACTGTGAAAAAAATGAAAAGAAAAGAAAAGAAAAGAAATATATTAATAATTTAGAAATTTTTTTAAAAATTCGCAAGAATTATTTACGTCAGTATCGGCTGTGCCACGTAGGATGGCTGGCATCCAAATCAATAATTTCCGGCCGAAATTGACCAGAAGGACTATATTGATAAATTGTCAAAAGGTTTATGACTAAATTGACCAAATTAAAAGATTTATGAATGAATTGATATCTTTATAATAAATTTAAGACTTTTTTTTATAATTATCTCGGTCGGTTTTACTACCTCTAGTCTCTCCTCCTTACGAGAAAATATTCAGTGGTTCGTGCACGCCACGTCATGTGCCTACGTGGCGTGCATGAACTCACGTGGATCCATTAGTAAGTGACGTGTGGCTCTTACCTGAAATTAGAAGAAAAGATATATTTTCAGACTCTTTCCTCTCTGGCGCCCTAGAGGACTGACTCTGTCTCTCTTCTGACGCCTCTAGATAGACTGAACAAGCAACCTTGCATTTAATGCTCTCGTTTATTGCCGCGTTCTCTCTCTCCCTCTCCTTCTCTCTCCTCTTTCACGTTTGAATGCCTATTTTCGTTTCACTTTGGAGTCTCTTCCTTCTTCCCCAGAAAGCTTTCCTCTCCCTCTCTCTCCTCGTCGGGCTCCAGAAACAGCCATTGAGCTTTGGGGTTTCGGCGAAAAGCGAAAGGCCGGTCGCAGCGGCTGGGTCCCGAGCTACCTCCGCCTCGTCGCCTCCGCATTGGGACTCTCTCTCTTGTTGGTCATGTCTTAAGGACCATTTTCAGTCATTTTTGTTCTGGTTTGTTAGCTGGTTGTTTTTTGGTTTTACTTAGTCAACAAGATAGTAGGAGTTTGTTGTTTTCAGTTCCTATTTTGTTGCTAGTTAGTGGTGTAGTGGTTTTTGTCAGTTACTAAGTTAGTGCAATTCAGTTTTCGTTGTTTTAAAAGTGCTATGTACTCTTCTCGTTTTTGAGAATGTAAAAAGTGCATTTTCCAGATCAATCTTCTCTTGTTCTTCTATATTTGAGAGCACATTCTCTGTAACAACAGAGAGCACATTTTGTGCAACAAAACTGGTATCAGAGCATTATTGATCTTAAGGGACTTGTGAGAGAGTGCTAAATTTGAAGTAGAGCAAGAAAGATGGAACAAACTGGTGTACCTGTTGCCTCATTCTCAACCATCACAGCTCCAATCTTCGATGGAGACAACTACCAGGCATGGGCAGTGAAGATGCAAGCTTTCATGGAGGGTGCAGACCTATGGGAAGCTGTGGAAGAGGACTACGAGGTTGCTGATCTACCCAACAACCCAACTATCAATCAAATCAGGTACCATAAAGAGAGGGTAACCCGAAAAGCAAAGGCAAAATCTTGCTTGTTTTCTGCTGTCTCCTCGACCATATTTACTAGAATCATGAAAAAAGATTCAGCACATGATATATGGAATTATTTAAAGGAAGAATATGAAGGGGATGAGAGAGTGAAAGGAATGAAGGTGCTGAACTTGCTAAGGGAGTTTGAAAGGCAGCAGATGAAGGAGAATGAGTCTGTGAAAGAGTTTGTTGATAGGCTAGTTGATATAGCCAATAAGATAAGGGTGCTAGGGACGGATGTAGATAATAAAAGGCTGGTTCAGAAGGTTTTGGTTGCAGTGCCCGAAAGGTTTGAAGCAACCATTGCTTCCCTTGAGAACACTAAGGACATTTCAGACATCAAACTTGCTGAAGTCCTAAGTGCTCTACAGGCTCAGGAGCAAAGAAGGCTTATGAGGAAAAATGAGCCTATCGAAAGTGCTCTGCAAGCCAAGCTGAAGCTGCATAGTGCAGAAAAGGGAAGAGGATGGAACCAAAATAGAAGACATGTTGAGGCCAATCATAGTCATAGTCAGGGAGGTTCAAGCAGTGGTGGATATGACAGGAAGTGGAATGCAGTTCCATGCAAGCATTGCGGGAAGAAAAATCATCCTCATTTCAAGTGTTGGAAGAGACTAGATGTGAAGTGCAGGAGGTGTCACAAGATGGGCCATGTTGAGGCCATTTGCAGGGAGAAGCATCAGCAATAGCAAGCTGAAGGTCAAACTGCAGTAGCCAGTGAAGTGGAGCACCTGTTTGTTGCCTCCTGCTTCATCTCAAATGCATCTAGAGATGGATGGCTCGTGGACAGTGGATGCACCAACCATATGACAGGTAATGAAGGATTATTTAGCAATTTAGACAAATCTGTGAAGTCTAAAGTCAGGATTGGCAATGGAGAACGCATAGAAGTAGAAGGCACAGGTGATGTAGTGCTTGAAGGTCCTGGTGGTGTTAAGCTTATCACAGAGGTTATGTTTGTGCCAAAGATAGATCAAAACCTGCTGAGTGTGGGTCAGTTAGTAGAGAAGGGGTTGAAGGTCGTGTTTGAGAAGAGTGAATGTGCCATAGGAGATGAGAATGGTCACATCCTTTTCAGGATTCCTATGAGGAACAAGTGTTTTACATTTGATCCAGTTGATGAGAATTTTGAAGCCATGAAAAGTATACAAGATGAGGAGGAGTTATGGCATAGAAGACTGGGTCATTTCCATAGCAAGGGGCTGCAATACTTGCAGCAAAATGAAATGGCAGTGGGGCTACCTATGTTGCAGAAGGAAGTAACTGGCTGTAGAGCATGTTTACAAGGCAAGCAAGTGAGGATTCCTTTCAAGAGGTCAAATTGGAGGGCCAGTGAAAAGCTGCAACTAATCCACACAGATGTGTGTGGTCCAATGCCAGAAGAATCACTGAACGGCAGCAAATACCTCATCACTTTCATAGATGACTGCACTAGAATGTGTTGGGTGTACTTCATGAAGAATAAGGCTGAAGTTAATGAGATTTTTTTGAGGTTCAAAAGAGAAGTAGAGAAGGAGAGTGGCTGTAATATCAAGACAATTAGGTCAGACAATGGAGGAGAATACACCTCAGGCAGTTTCAGGGCTATATGTGATGATGCAGGGATCAAGCACCAGCTCACTGTGCCATACACTCCACAGCAAAATGGAGTGAGTGAAAGGAAGAACAGAAGTATCATGGAGATGGCCAGATGCATGCTACACGAGAAGAACTCCCTAAGAAGTTCTGGGCTGAGGCTGCCAACACTGCAGTCTTCCTTCTGAACAGACTGCCCACTAAAGCTCTCAACAAACAGACACCATTTGAAGCATGGCATGGATATAAGCCTAAGGTGAGTAACCTGAAAGTGTTTGGCTGCATTTGCTATTCACTGGTTCCTTCTGTTAAGAGAGATAAGCTTGATCTAAGAGGAAAAGCATGTATCTTTGTGGGGTATAGTTTGCAATCTAAGGCTTATAGAGTTTATCATCCTGCTAGTAACCAGGTTGTGGTGTGTAGATATGTGAGTTTTATGGAAGATAAGAAGTGGGACTGGACTGTGGAAGGTGGCAAGGCTGAAGAGGAGGTAGTGCCATTGCAGGTTGAACCAAATGAAGTGGAAGTCGAGGATCTAATTGATCATGTTCCTGCGAGAGGCACTAGATCTCTTGCTGAAATCTATGAGAGATGCAATACAACTATGCTTGAACCAGCTAGCTATAAGGAAGCAAGTGAAGATGTGAAATGGTGTGCTGCAATGGAAGAAGAAATCAGAATGATTGAAAAAAACCAGACATGGGATCTAGTTGAGAGGCCCAGAAGCAGAAAGGTGATTGGAATGAAGTGGGTATTCAGGACAAAGTTGAATCCTGATGGCTTTGTAGTTAGAGGCAAGGAATATTACGTGTACAAGTTGAGGAAAGCCTTGTATGGCTTGAAGCAGGCTCCAAGAGCCTGGTATAGTAAAATTGATAAGCATCTGCAAGAACTTGGGTTTAAAAAAAGTTTGAGTGAAGTGACTCTATATGTGAAGAAGGGTGTGGAAGGTGTAACTATTGTCTCTCTTTATGTTGATGATCTTTTGGTTATTGGTGATTGTGAAGAGCAGATTGCAGAACTAAAGAGAGAGCTGATGAAGCAGTTTGAAATGACTGATGTTGGACTAATGTCCTTCTTTGTGGGAATGGAGGTGCAGCAGAGGAAAGGCGAGGTATTCGTCTGTCAAAGAAGATATCTAAGAGAGATCTTAAAGAGGTTTGAGATGGAGGAATGTAGAAGTGTGAACACTCCTATGAATCTAAAGGAGAAGCTGCAGAAGACTGAAGAAGCTGAGCCTGCTGATGAAGGTTTTTATAGAAGTTTAGTCGGTTGCTTGATGTATCTAACTGCAACAAGACCAGATATCCTGTATGCAGTAGGTGTGCTTTCATGATTCCTAAGTTGTGCTGGTGAAGAACACTTGGTAGCTGCAAAAAGAGTGATTAGATACTTGAAAGGCACTCAGTCATTTGGTGTCAAGTTTACTAAAGTGGACAATTGCAGGTTGCAAGGCTTTGCTGACAGTGATTGGGCTGGTTCAGTCGAGGATATGAGGAGTACAAGTGGTTTTTGTTTTACTTTAGGATCTGGATGTTTCACCTGGAGCTCAAAGAAACAAGAAGTGGTTGCTCACCCACTGCGAAGCCGAGTTTCTAGCAACTATCTGCAGCAGCCCAATCATGCAATATGGTGAGAAAGCCGATGCAAGATCCGGAAATGGAAGTTGAAGGACCAACCGAGATACTTGTGGACAACCAAGCTACACTAGCCATATCTCAAAACCCTGTCTTTCACGGGAGAACCAAGCATTTCAAGATCAAGTTCTACTATCTGAGGGAAGTGCAACAAGAAGGTGAAGTGAAGCTACTCTATTGCAAGATAGAAGATCAGGTGGCTGATGTGTTTACTAAGCCATTGCAAGCAAGCAGACTTGAGTTACTGAAGAAGAAGGCTGGAATGTGTTCTGCTCCTTAAGCCAAAGAGGAGTATGTTGGTTATGTCTTAAGGACCATTTTCGGTCATTTTTGTTCTGGTCTGTTAGCTGGTTGTTTTTTGGTTTTACTTAGTCAACAAGATAGTAGGAGTTTGTTGTTTTCAGTTCCTATTTTGTTGCTAGTTAGTGGTGTAGTGGTTTTTGTCAGTTACTAAGTTAGTGCAATTCAGTTTTCGTTGTTTTTAAAGAGCTATGTACTCTTCTCGTTTTTGAGAATGTAAAAAGTGCATTTTCCAGATCAATCTTATCTTGTTCTTCTACATTTGAGAGCACATTCTCTGTAACAACAGAGAGCACATTCTGTGCAACATCTCTTTCTCATTTGCATGTTCTTCCTCGGGGTCCGGCAACGGCCGTGAGGGAGGGTCGTCTTCCACCTCCGCTCCTCCTCTTCCTCCCCCCAAAAAGAACAAGCTTTGGATGAGCCACCCAAAAATCCATTCGTAGACATTTCAAACTGTCAGTTTTGGTTTAATCCGGCAAAGAAAGTTTCGGTTTTGGCCAAGTTTTTCCTTGTTAAGAGCTTGTCGCTGTTGTGTAAGAAATCCCGGAAGCCAATACGAGCCTTCCACCTCCCTCTCTCTCTCATGTTTTCTTTGAATTTTGCTGTTCTAGAAGAATCGAGACTTCACCATTGGAGAGCTGATTCAGACCTGGAATTGGAGAACGATTTGCTCACTGCCTAGTATTAAAATTCCATCGCGTGGCAATGTTTTCCACGTGATATTACTGTTAGTGTCTGTGTAGATGCTGTTTTTTTATTATTATGATCTTGCTTGGTAAAACACTTTAGGAGGGGGGATTGAGCTTTTGCATCCTCGTACTCTGCTGTTGTTGAGCGACAAGTATCCGAGTATTTGTACTGATAATATCGAATATGGTTATGTTTACTTCATCTTTCAACTACTGCCATTGTGTATGAAGATTTCGGCAAGTCTTTGCCGTGAATGGAGTCTATTCATGATGAATGGGAGTTCTTCAATGGTTGATTTGAGTAGCTTCCCGATCCCTTTCCTTATCGGGGGTAGAAAAAGGACATTTGAATGAACGGACCAAAATGTTATTTGGTGCTTATCGCATCGGGAAATGCTGTGTGGGGGATCCATTTTCTTGATATCCAGATCTCGCTCTCAAAAAAATTAACTTTTTGCAACCGGCATTAAGAAAAGTTCGCCATGTTGCAACTCATCTGTTGCAAACTCCAGGACAAGAAGTGAAGCCAATGCATGATCATTTTGAACGAATGAACAAAGATGCACACCACAACATTAGGACATAAATCATGTATGGACGACTTTCACAGCCGTGACAATGCAAAAGAATATTTTTGAAGTGAAATCAGCCGATAGACCCACGGATAAAAAACACATGATGATACAGCAGCTTGATCCTTAATCTAGCTTTCATTAAATGGATAGAAATCTCACAAGCTTCTAACACAAGCAGAGTTTGGTAACTCAAGTTGTTTCGGAATGGAAGTGGCTAAGGTAAAAGAACTTAATTTCATATAAACCTGCGACTCGGTATCTTTTTACATGTAAAGAATGAATAAAATGTTCTGAGAGCCTCAATGCGTTCCTTTTCATCTTTTCCCTACAAGGCCTACGATTAGATGTGAGAGCCTCTGCAGTGCCAGCTCTACAAAGAACAGCTCAACAATCTCCAGCGTTAGACACCAAGTGGTTGCCCCTTCTAATCAACGCAGTTTTCCCAGAATGAGCCGCCTCATGATTCCTCATTCAAAAAATCCAAATCGGTCTTCAAGTAACCATGCTTCATAGCGTCTCTGTTTCATCCTCGTCTCTTCTCACCACTTCATCTATGATATTCTTATTCATGTTTTCCGCGGCAAACTCAGCAGCATATTCAACAAAACTTGAGCGCATTGAAAAAAGCTGTCAATCATGGAGAACAAAATGTAAGGAAGATGCAAATTTATCTTGTGTTCCCATTGCACTCGTTAAAGTGTGCTTTCGCAGGTAATCAAATGCGAAGCCATTTGAACTTTGCAAGATAAGTTAAAGTACGATTAACCATCAGAACGCAAAAATCAAATGCTAAAGGCACTTTGTGAAACTTTTAGCTGACCAAGAGAATTTGATTAACTGAGACACCCTCAGCAGTTAAATTTCTACACTAAAGTTTTAAATTTTGCTTTGTGCCAGCGAGTCATTAGCATGTCCACCAACACGCTCAATTTAACTTCATAAATGAATGATCTTTATCAGATCGCATCATGCAATAAACAGGGGACAAGCACAACAGTTATACACATAGAAGCAAATAAACAAAAGGGAGGGGGTTACTGACAGCATTTGGAGGATTGATATCCATGGAAGTCACCCAGCATGCAAAGAGAGAGAGAGAGAGAGAGAGAGAGAGAGAGAGAGAGAGAGAGAGAGAGAGAGAGAGAGAGAGAGAGAGAGAGAGAGAGAGAGAGAGGGGGGCAACAAACGACAAGTCCCTGCTATCTTATTTCCGGGTAAGTGGGGTCGATGAAAAGCTTCAAGGAAAAAGACTGATCTTTTGGCTTCTGGGATTTCTTACACAACAGCGACTAGCTCTTAACAAGAAAAAACTTGGCCAAAAGCGAAGCTTTCTTTGCCGGATTAAACCAAAACTGGCAATTTGAAATGTCTACGAATGGATTTTTGGATGGCTCATCCAAAGTTTGTTCTTTTCTGGGGGAGGAAGAGGAGGAAGGGAGGTGGAAGACGACCCTCCCTTGAGGCCGTTGCCGGACCCCGAGGAAGAACATGCAAATGAGAGAGAGAGAGAGTCCCAATGCGGAGGCGACGAGGCGGAGGCGGAGGTGGCTCGGGACCCAGCCGCTGCGACCGGCCTTCCGCTTTTCGCCGGAACCCCAAAGCTCAACGGCGGTTTCTAGAGCCCGACGAGGAGAGAGAGGGAGAGGGAAGTTTTCTGGGGAAGAAGGAAGAGGCTCCAAAGTGAAAAGAAAATAGGCTTTCAAACGTGAAAGGGGAGAGAGAGGGAGAAGGAGAGAGAGAACGCGGCAATAAACGAGAGCATTAAATGCAAGGTTGCCTGCTCAGTCCATCTAGAGGCGCCAGAAGACAGAGAACTACAAAAAAACATGAATTTTGCAACAGGACATTTTTTGTTGTTAATTTGCGACAGAATTTACCACGAAATGAAAATTCGTCGCAAATTAGCGACGGAAAATTAGTCGCTGCTAATTCCGTCTCAAATTAGCAACGGAAAAATTGATCGTCGCTAATTTGCGACGGATTTATTTTCCGTCTCTAAGTTGCGACGAATTTTTAAATCCGTCGCAAATTAGCGACGACCAATTTTCCGTCGCTAATTTGCGACGGAGTTATTTTCTATCACAAATTTATGCAACGAAATTTACCATTTTGGGACGAAATTAGCGATGGATTTTTTTACCGTCGCTAATTTGCGACGGATTTTGCGATGAAAACGAATTCGCCGCTAATTTGTAATTTATGACGAAAAATAACTTTCGTGATATTCATCCCACCCGTCAATTTCTCTCTCTCTCTCTCTCTCTCTCTCTCTGTACTGATTCCTCATATCCCCCTCGCTTTTCTCCCGCCTTCTCCTTCTTTCGTTTCTCTCAATAAACCTATCCGTACATGCACAAATCAATCTCGGTAAAGCTTTTCTACCGGTAAGTATCGTAGTTAACTTCGTGACTAATTGGCGACGAATATGGTTCGTCGCAAAACTATTCATCGCTGGATTCGAATTTTTATTTTATTTTATTGACTATTTTTTTCCTAAATTCTTCGCCGGTCGCCGGTCCTGCGACCGGCGAGGCCGCTTGGCCTCCCCCCATGGTCGTCGACCTCACCCAGGTGTGGCGGTCGACCTCGCCGTCGCCCAGATTTGGACGAGGCCGAGTGACCTCGCCGTGGCCGCCGGTCGACCTCGCCGGCCTCAGCCGGTCACCGGACCCGCGACCAAAGAAAAATATAGGGGAAAAAAAAAGAAAAGAAAATTTAAAAAAAATCGAAAAAATAAAAAAAATTATTAAAAAATGAATCTTAAGTGATTTTTATTTTTTTTAGGTACGTGTCCATTTGAAAGTCTCGCAATCCAAGTGAACGTTGCAATTCTCAGCAAATTGACCACTTTCTACTATAAAGATTTCAGGCAAATATTTGGGTAAGTCTTCTTTACATGGTAATTTTTTCATTTTTTTTCAATTTCAAAGTAATTGTTGAGTCAAAAACAAAATTTTAATTTTCATAATTTTATGGTTTTAATTAAGAACAGTAGATATGATATCTTTAATATTTTACGAGATTTTTTTTTTCAAAACAGACACAATGCAAAGAGACAGGGCTTGAATGTATAATAAGAACTTACCTGGACGTCGAGGATTGACCGATGAGTTTCGTACTGGGTTGGAACTATTTTTAGACTTTGCTAGTAGTAAATATGAGTTCATGGATAGAAATAAGTTAAGGTGTCCGCGTAAAAAGTGCAGTAATGGTAAATTTCATGTGTGTGATACAGTTAGAGAACATCTTTGTAGATTTGGGTTTACTCCGAATTATTATAATTAGACTTGCTATGGTGAACAATTTATATCTGATGAAGGATATCGAAGAAGTGACCAATTTTTAGTTAGGGAAGAATGTAGCTATTATGACCAATTGAACCCATACGAGAGGATGGTGATTGATGCAGCTGGTCAGAATTTTGTTTCAGAATCGAACCATGCAAGTACTAGTTTTATTCCTACACTTGAACAAGTGGGTACTAGTCATGCATCACAATTAGAAGAGATAAGAGTAACGGGTTTTGATGAGAATATGTGTAATGGAACTTTTCCATCTAATCAGTTCTGGGAAGTGTTGAAAGCAGCAGATGAACCTTTATGGGCAGGTTGTGACAACCACACTAAATTATCAGTGACAGCAAGATTGTTAAATATCAAGGCAGAGCATAATGTGTCTGCAGATTGCTTCAACTCTTTTATTGAAGTAATGCGGGAAATAATGCCTCGTGATAACATCATGCCAAGTGATTTTTACGATATGAAAAAGTTAATGGATAACTTAGATTTTCCGGTTGTAAGGATTGATGTATGTAGTAGGGTTGTATGTTATATTGGAGAGATGATGAAAATGCAGAATCTTGCAAATTCTGTAGCCAACCTAGGTACAAGATTAACAGGAGATAGAGTCGTAATTAGAAGCGTAGACCATGTAAGCAAATGTTTTATCTGCCCTTAATTCCTAAATTGCAAAGGCTTTATGCGTCTCAAGCCACTGCTGAACACATGACTTGGCATGCAAATCATGAAACAGAAGAGGGTCTAATGTGTCATCCTTCAGATGCAGAGGCATGGAAACATTTTGATAGAACATACCCTGAGTTTGCAATAGAGCCTCGAAACATCAGGTTAGGTCTCTATGCTGATGGATTTGCCCCATTTGGGAAATCAGGAAAAAGTTATTCATGTTGGCCAGTTATCTTAATGCCGTACAATCTTCCATCTGGTATGTGCATGAAGACACCTTATATGTTTTTTACATTGATCGTGACTGGCCCGCAAAATCCGAAAAAGTTAATAGATGTTTATATGCAACCATTGATTGAAGAGTTACAACGACTATGGGATGAAGGTGTCCTTACATATGATGTTTCTACCGATCAAACATTTGTAATGAAGGCTGCTCTTCTTTGGACGATAAATGACTTTCCAGCTTACGGAATGTTATCTGGATGGAGTATAGCTGGGATCTTAGGATGTCCGATATGTTTGGAGAGATCAAAGTCATTTAGATTAAAACATGGAAAGAAGCCCTGTGACATTCCGAATTTCGACTCATTTTTGGGATTTATAAAACGTGTAATTCGTCAGTGTGCTTATAGTAAAATCTCGCCCGGGAACTGATCACTCCCGGTTATTGTTTTTAAAATTGAGATTTCGCTAGAATCGCATTCGATCGAATTTGGCCGTTATTTAGAGCCCAAACTTTGGTGTCGAATTTCTCGGAATTCCGGAACGAATTTAATTGGACGGTGTCTAGTGTGGCTAATCTCGATATTACCCGGGATACGTGAAAAGTGAATTTTTGACCGGGTGCGAATTTGGATTGGTAGACCACCTTCGCAGTGTGTTTTTATTAACACCCTTTTGGCCAAATCCAAATATTAATTAGGATTTTTCGGGGACCGTCGGATCGTTTTTGGATTTGAATCGCGGCCGTCGGATCGCATTTGAGTACGATTTGACCATTCTCTCTCTCTCTCTCTCTCCTCCCCTTTTTTCCCGCCGGCTTCCCCCCCCATGCGCCTGACACTCTCACCAACCCATCATTTCCTCTCTTTTTCCTTTTCTTTTTCTTTTCCTTTTCTTCTCTTTTCCTCCTCGCCGTTGCTTCTTCTTCATTCCTTTCGCGTCCGCTTCTGGCTTCTTGTTCTTGCTTCTGTTCATGCCGATCGCTCCTCGCCAGAATCGGCCGCTCGTCGCGCCACCATGGCTCCGCCCTAGTCGAGCCGCGCTGCCGCTGTCACCCCAAAACCGCTCATCGTCGGACCACCGAGCCACGCTCGGGTCGTGTCCTCGCCGGTCCGCCCGCTTTTCTTCCTCCACCACCGAGCGTCGCTCCTCCCCGCCGTGAACCACCGCCGTCCCGGACGTTTGTCGGACCGAGCTCGCCCTACCCAGCTCCATTCGCTGCCGGGACCGACTCCGCCGTTCACCCCCGACCGTCGTCACGCCGTTCGTCACCCCGACCGAGCCGTGTCCGCCTTGTCCAGCCGCCGCGGTCAAGCTCCGCTCACCTCCGTCGCCCGCCACCGCCGTCCAGCCTGAGCTTCGCCGTGCGTGCAGGCTGTCCCACCTCCGACCGTCGCCGCTGCTTGTCCCGGGCCGTCGGGAACGGCCCGAGCCACGCCGGAGCAGCCCCCACAGCAGCCGCGCTCGTTCGTCGCCCGTCCGTCACTCGCCGGGCCGAGCCGGAAATTACCATGGACCGCCCTCGTCGCTGCCGTCGTCCTCGCGTCATCGCCGGCGTTAGCCGAGTAAGTTAACCCCTAATCCCGTGTTTAGGGCGTTAAACTTGCTTAGGGTAGTTTAATTTATGTTTAGGTTGTGTTAATTGTGGGTTAGTGGTTAATTAATTGTGTTTAGGGTATAAGTTATCAATTAGTTTATTGTTATTGATTATTATATGAAATGTTATTATTTTCGGAATTTAAATATTATTTTATTAGTTAATAAATTAATTCCGAATTAAATATTATTATTTTATTATTAAATAATTAATTTCCGAAAATTAAATGTTATTATTTTCGGAAAAATTCTAGCGTCAAATTGTGATACCAATGTTGGTTTTCGCCGTATAAGTTGGCGTATTTAGGAAATGATTTGAATGATTTCAATTCGAGGAAATATTTTGACATTTTGGAAAATTAAATTATTTTCGGATATTATTAATTAATTAATTCCGAATTTAATTTATTGTTATTTCGGAAAATTTATAATTTCAAATTATGATTTCTAGCTTGAATGTTGGCGATTTTGCCGCGTATTGTCGTATTAAATTGATTTTATGGCAAATTGTTTGATCGAAAGTTTCTGTGGAAAAATTTATGAGACTTTTGGAATTAAATTATTTTATTCTGTTATGCCAAGTAATGTTAGTGATACTTTGTGGTTGATATTCGTGTTTGATATCGAAGATTGCAAGAATTGATTGACTGTTTGCATGTGTGGCCACTTGGTATTATTGTATGACATCGAGGAGAGCACGATTCATGTATGCATGGGCTAATTGAGAAGATAATAATTGGCCGGAATGCTTGTGTGCTCGTGTGGTCACACGTTGGAACCGTCTTGCTGTGTATCGCTTGACGATGCCCGATTTATCGGATGCCTGGGGATTATCTGGAGTGCCGATACCCCGGATGCCTTGTCGCGACCCGAGGCCGTACTCGATGCTCCTTACGGGATACCATTTTACTGTAGATCGTTTGATGTTGCCGTATTGGAATGCCGTCT